AGCGCAGGAACAGAAGCTGCTCAGGGCGCTGCCACCGCCCCTGCCTCGGGCGGGCCGCGGGCTCCCAGGCCCGGCAAGCGCCCCTCAACCAGCCTGCACGGGAGGGCGTCTTGCTCACCTGTCTGCCGGCCGCTGGGACGAGGAGGAGGAAAGGAGGCCCAGCTGGGCCGTTAAGGACGGGGTTGCTGAAACCGAGCCGGCAGTGGTGAGCCGGCCCTGAGCAGAGGGACGCCGCAGCACTCGGCTCACTAGCGCCCCCTTCGGTGCACCACGCCCTCCGCGGAGCGCCCGGCACTGGGGTCCGCTGCCCGCGCAGGGGGCGCAGCTGGGTTCCGCCCGGAGCTGCGGGAGGTCCTGGACCGCGGCATTTCCGCCTCACACTCCGACTAGTGTAAATCGTGCTCCAGTGTCTGGAATGACAATCGGCTCTATCGGAACTGAACCTGAACTACTGCTGCACCGTTGGAGGCCGAGAAGTTACGGTCTGCCCTGCGTCCTCACATCCCGTGGACCACACGCCGTGTGCGGACCCCGGTGTGACCGGCGGCTCAGCGGGCGATGTGCACGGCGCTGGCGGCTTAGACTTTCCCCCGAGGAACCACTGTCCAGTGACCCCGATGCTCACGTAGGTGAGCAGCGCCAGCGGCCGTGAAGCAGGCTCGTGCGCTCCCGGGCTCCTGGGCGATGCTGCCACCACTGCTCACGCGTGACCTCCGCGTGGGCCGTCGCGGGCACTGGAACCTCCTGGCACGCACTCCTGCCCGCCTGGACCCTGGCGGTCTGGGGCCTCCGACGAAGAGCACGGATCCCGTGTCCTGACTCCACGTGGCGCCGCGCGTGCTGGGATTCTGCTACACTTTTGTTTCCCTTGAACTTGAGGATATTTTCGTGACAGTGGGCTTGCTCTCTTTGGCGCCCTCAGCCCGGGTTAAGGTGTAGAACTGAGTAACGTAGAGCCCCAAGTTGCATTTACAGGTCACACTGGCAGCCAGCATTGTGTGTTTTCCTTTCCTTTTTTGTTAGCAGCATTGTGTTTTCAAAGGTAAATTCTTTGCAACAGAATAACAATGATAATTGAGACATTAACTTGGAGGCATTAAATTTTAATGGTGTAGAAACATGGCTGATGTAGTTAATGGGTCTGCGCTCTCAGGCCTCCTGAGAACCTGCGCAGGTGGGTTCCTGGGGAAGGTGCCGTTTTATCGTCCACTTGCCTGAGTGTCGGTCACTGCTGGTCATTTCTCCCGGGGACAGTTCTGTCTCAGGGCTTGGTGTGATGGGCGTTTCAGCAGCAGCGGTGAGCCAAGGGCTCGGGAACGCCTCACCTGTGGACCCCCCCCCCCCCCGCCATATCTTTCCTCTTGGACTTCAGCGACTTCGCAGTTTCTCAGTTGCTTGGGGTCCAGGTTGTATCTCAGCCTTCCCTCCACCAGGGCAGCCAAGGGTGGATGTCACTTTCTTTTAGTAAGAAAGGGAATTCCATTGTGTTCTGGAACTTTTTGAAGAGATTTCATCCAGCGTATAACGCCTAATAATCAAAATGCATATTTTATGCAGTTACGTTTTCTTAACCATTTGTTTCTCTTGTTCTGCTCACAGTAAAATGTGCATGAGCCCTGGCCAGCTTGGCTCAGTGGAGAGAGCATCGACCTGTGGACTGAAAGGTCTCAGGTTCGATTCCAGTCAAGGGCACATGCCTGGGTGGGGGGCTCGATCCCTAGTAGGGGCCTGCAGGGGGCAGCCGATCAATGATTCTCTCTTCTTATTGATGTTTCTCTCCCCCTCTGAAATCAATAAAAATATCTTAATTTTTTTTTGGCATGAACCACATGGCTTTATGAAACAAGTTACGATGACCACTTTTCTCCTTCCTCCTCTTACTTTTCCTTATGTTTCCGTTACAGAAATGAGCCGCCAGACTGCGACAGCGTTACCTACTGGGACCTCCAAGTGCACCCCGTCCCAGAGGGTGCCCGCCCTCACGGGCACCACCGCGTCCAACAATGACTTGGCCAGTCTCTTTGAGTGTCCTGTCTGCTTTGACTATGTGTTGCCACCCATTCTTCAGTGTCAGAGCGGCCACCTTGTCTGTAGCAACTGTCGCCCAAAGCTCACGTGTTGTCCAACCTGCCGGGGCCCCTTGGGATCCATTCGCAACTTGGCGATGGAGAAAGTGGCCAATTCAGTACTTTTCCCTTGTAAATATGCCTCTTCCGGGTGTGAAATCACTCTGCCCCACACAGAAAAAGCAGACCACGAAGAGCTCTGCGAGTTCCGGCCTTACTCCTGCCCGTGCCCCGGCGCGTCCTGTAAGTGGCAGGGCTCTCTGGATGCCGTGATGCCCCACCTGATGCATCAGCACAAGTCCATCACCACCCTGCAGGGGGAGGACATTGTGTTCCTCGCCACGGACATCAACCTCCCCGGGGCGGTGGACTGGGTGATGATGCAGTCCTGCTTCGGCTTCCACTTCATGCTGGTCTTGGAGAAGCAGGAGAAGTATGACGGGCACCAGCAGTTCTTTGCAATTGTACAGCTGATAGGAACGCGCAAGCAGGCGGAAAATTTTGCTTATCGACTCGAGCTAAATGGTCACAGGCGGCGATTGACTTGGGAAGCTACTCCCCGATCTATTCATGAGGGGATTGCAACAGCCATTATGAATAGCGACTGTCTAGTCTTTGACACCAGCATCGCACAGCTTTTTGCAGAAAATGGCAATCTAGGCATCAATGTCACTATTTCCATGTGTTGAAGTGGCGATCAAATGTTTTCTGGCCAGTGTTTAAAACCATTGCATTCAACTTCACAGAGAATAGGCCCCCTCTGCCTGCCCCCCCGAGACTTTTGGTAGGTGGAGCTAGTCACATGAAGGTAAATAAATGGAAAGGCTGTTAAATACAGGAAACGGTTGCATGTAGTAACACTAATATATTTAAGTCAACAGTAAACCACTGAAAAAATATATATATACACCCAAGATGGGCATCTTTTGTATTAAGAAAGGAAGCATTGTAAAATAATTCTGAATTTGTGTTTGTTGTAGATTGAGTGTACTGTTGAGAAATACTGGGTTTTTGTTTCTGCGTGTGAGAGTGTGTGGGTGCGTGTGCGTGTGCTTGGGTTTTTTTTCCTTTAACTGACAAGCCATGTTGAGTGGTCTTGGGCCACTGCTTCCCCTCTTTTGAGTCAATACATAGTGCTGCTGTGTGTGTATATATTTTTTGTGTGTATTTGCTAATTTTTATTAATTTTAGTTTTTCATTAAATAAATTTGACTTTCTTTTCTGTAATTGAAGCTTTTCCCATCTTTTTTTGTACCTTTTTAAAGTTAGTGGTTTTTTATGCATAATTGTTTATGGTAAAGTTTATACATGTGTGTTCCATACATGTTTTTTCTCCCCATTAATCAGTTCATTAGAAATACTTTAAATTCAGCTTCTTGTGAAGACACGAGTTCCAGAAAGGAGAGGTAACATCGGAAGAAAGATCAGAAGCTACTTAAAACAGCTAGAAGATGGTCGGTCGGTCTTTTTCTCTCTTTTTTCCAGTTGAGTCACGCCTTCAAACTTATTCTTTAAAAGGTAGTAGGATATACTGATTTTTAAAAATATATTAAAAAAATCCCCCCCCCCACCAATATCTTGGACAAATCACATATGTTTAAAATTTGTTCTCATATTTATTGGTTTTGCAAAAGAAGGCATCATCTCACAGTATTTGTAATTAAAAGCAAAGCATTTGTTTAAAAAAAGGCAGTTTGCAAAAAAATGTTTTTGGTCTTTTATAATTCTCATTAAAAGAATATCTGGCAAATTGAAAACTCTTTGTGTTGCTTTAGCTCTAAGTTTGATTAAAATCCAAAGCTGTTTTCCTGTCCGATTCTGTGCTTTACAGCAGAGAGCAGTGTGCAGTTTTGAAATGCAAGAGTTTTACTGTCAAGTACAGCGCAGCACAGGCCCCGGCACGGGCACAGCGAGCCCCAGGTCCCGACTCGTCCTCCCGGAGCACTGGGACTCGCCAGCAGGGCCGGGCACGCCTGTAACTCGCAGACCCCCTTCTCATCCAAGAAACTGCGCAGCGCCTGACATACCTGTGCTTCAGTCTGGAAGAGCGCTCCTGAGGGGGCTCGGGGTTGTCCATCGCGTCCTCAGTCTCCACAGCCACATGCGTGGCAGGAAGGTGGGCGCTGGGTGAGGAAAGCTATGACCCTGGAATCCCCAGCCTGACCTGCTGTCCTAACCCTGGGTGAGTCGGGACGAGAAGCGGAGAGCCCGCAGACGGGGACGGCACAGGCAGACGGGACGGACAAGGGGAGGTGGCGGGGCCCGGGCCTCGCGGGATCAGGGTAACGAGCGTGGGGATCAGCCCGGAAAGGTTGGCGGCCTCCCCCTGGGGACTGGACTTTGTAAGGGGACAGGCGTTCGGGGCCGGCGTGTTTCTGACTGACGTGTGCGAACCGGGGCCGCTCTGCCTGCGTGATGTTGCGTGTGCTGGGACGTGTGGGCCTCCTCACGCGGTACTTAACCTGAAACGTCATTTCCACAAAGACTCACCGGCTGTGTTTTCAGCTTTGCCCACTGCCCCTCCCACATCGACGGGGATCTGAGGTCATGGTCTCTACAGTCGTTCTTGACCTTGCCTGGGCGTCTGAGTCACCCGAGGCTCGGGAACAGATCTGAGTGTGGGTGGGGGAGTCTGGGGCCACAATGGGAACCGTGTGCCGCCTTCCCAGGGACAGAGACAACGACCGAAGACAGTAGCCAATGCTCTCTGTTTATTAAAATCTCTGTAGCCCGCGTGGCCCCTCGGTGAGGCTCGCGCCTGCTGATCAGCTCACAGGGGAAGGGACGTCTTGCTTACCCGCTGGTGTGAGCAGCCAGCCCGGCGGGCCTCGGGGCTTCAGGACGGCGCCTGAGCCGCTCCGAGCCTACAGTTTGCTATTTAAGAGGCCGGGCCTGGCCTTGGCCGAGAAGCCCCCGTCGAAAGCGGCGTTGAGGACCTCGTCCAGGCAGCTCGCCGTGACGAAGCTCAGGTCGCGGCGCACGTTGCCCGGGATCTCCTCCAGGTCCTTCTCATTCCTCTGCGGGAGGATGACCCGCTTCAGGCCCGCTCTGTGCGCCGCCAGCACTTTGTCCTTGATGCCGCCCACCTGCGGGAGAAGGGCAGGCGGCGTGACCTCGGGCCCAGCACCCCCCGCTTTCCCACAGCCGGGTCACCGCCCGTCCGCACAGGAGCGGGAGAGCCCTGAGGAGGTGAGTGAGTAGTGAATTCTCTTCGCTCTAGTCCAGCCTTTCACGGGGGAAGGTGCCGGCTTTCTTCCGTCCCTGTTCCTGCCTGTTGTCAGGGTCTACACTTCAGTCTCTGCAGTCACGGCGCCTGCGGGCCGATGGGGCTGATTCGGAAAAAGTGATCGTAGACCTGACACCCGCCCGCAGAGCTCAGCTGTGCGCCAGGATGACACCACTGCACAGGTCAGAGCAGGACCGCTGGGCCACCCCGGGAGGACACAGGTCCCCACGGCCTCGGCTCCGTGGTTAAAAGATGTCCACAAAAACCCACACACAAAGCCATGGAGGCTAAGCAGTGAGATCAAGGAAGAAAAGATGCCATGACACAGAGCACAACCCACAATCTATGGGGCACAGTGAAAGCTGTCCTAAGAGGGAAACTCATAGCATTACAGGTCTGTGAGGAAAAAGAAAGATCTCAATCTGACTTTACAAGGAATTGAAAAAGAACAACAAACAAAGCCCAGAGTGAGTAAAAGAAAGGAAACAAAGAGCGAAAGTAAACAAAATGGAGTAAAAAAGAAAAACCAACGCAAAAGACCCATGAAACCAACAGCTGGTTCTCTGAAAAGATACACAAGGGAAACCTTCAACCAGATCATCAGGGGAGAGCCCACATGAAGCCAGAGGTGAAAGAAGTAACAACGGACACCAGAGAAATACAAAGGGTTGTACAAGGAAACATGAACTATAGGCCAATAAATCGGACAGTCTGGACCACATGGATCAATTCCTAGAAACATACAATCCTCCAAAACTGAATCAGAGAATTGAAACAGACCAGTTACAACTAGTGAAACGGACGCAGTCATTAAAAGCTCCCGACAAACAAAAGCCTGGACCAGGTGGCTCACAGGTGAGTTTTACCAAACTTTCAAAGAACTGGCACCTGTCCGCACACCCAAAATATGCCAGAGGAGGGCAGCCTCCCAGTTCACTTCACCAGGCCAGCGGCACCCTGATTCCAAAGCAAGGCAAAGACACTGCACGTGCACCAGACGAAGGACAGAAATCACAGGATCATCAACAGGTGCAGGGAAACCATCTGATAAAACCCAGCACACATTTATGATAAAAACCACCACGCAGCAAAGTGGGAATAGAAGGAACATACCTCAGTGGGACCGCCTCACACTAAAGCCCCTGTACAGCAAAGGAGACCAGCAACAATAAAAAGACAAACCACTGGATGGAGAACATATGTGCCAACGACACATCTGATAAGGGGTTAACAGCCAAAATTTTATTTATTTTTTTAATTTTCTGTGCCCTTTATAATCAACTTTTTTAAAAAATATATTTTATTGATTTTTTACAGAGAGGAAGGGAGAGGGATAGAAAGTTAGAAACATCGATGAGAGAGAAACATTGATCAGCTGCCTCCTGCACACCCCCTACTGGGGATGTGCCCGCAACCAAGGTCCATGCCCTTGACCGGAATCGAACCTGGGACCCTTGAATCCACAGGCCGACGCTCTATCCACTGAGCCAAACCAGTCAGGGCCAAAATTTATTTTAAAAACTTACTCAACACCAAAAAATCAAAAAACCAAACAATCCAATTTAAAAAATGGGCACAGGACTTCTCCAAAGAGGATATACCGATGGCCAACAGACACATGAAAGGTGCTCAACAGCGTCATCATTAGAGAGATGCAAACCACCCGATGACCACAGTGAGCTACCACCTCACACCTGTCAGTGGCGATCATCAGTAAAGCAACAGACAGCGAGTGCTGGGAGGATGTGGGGACGGGACCCTCGTGCACCTTTGGCGGGAATGCTGGTTGGTGCAGCCGTTGTGGAAAGCAGGATACAACACCAATAATGAACGATCGGAAAGGGACACTAAGAAAATAACTCCATTTACATGCATTAAAAACCAAAGTGCAATTAAAAAAGTGTGTGTGTGTGTGTGTGTGTATATATATATATATATATA